TATAAGAGTAGTAAGATATTTAGGTTTCACACCTGAAATGCAAAGTAGAACCATAGGGCAATGAAAGGGGATGCTCTGTATGACACGGGACACTCATTGCTCTGTGATATAATGTGTTTGCGTGTGTGTACGTGACGTGTGTGGGTGTTTGTGTGCATGTGTTTGTGTGTAGCATCTCAGATCCTCTCTCTTACCTTCTTACCACCCCTCAGAATAGGAGACACTGTATGACAATTCGTGGACAGATCTGCCTGAGGAAACAGATTCCGGAAATCCAAGCACCAGAGTCAAGTTTGCACTTCAGACGCGGAGCTGCCAGTCAGCTCCCGTCACGGGACACAGAAAACACGGGCACGGGGGTTAACCGGCCCCACGCGCTTCAGACACTGACACGTGTTCACCCTAAAAACTCAAGAGTATCTTAAAGGAAAGCCTGTGGTAACCGGATGAAATAGTCGGTTAACTTCTTGGAATAAGAATTAACACTTTTATTTTTGCTTCAGTTCTCATTGCTTAATTTTAACCATTCTCATCCGAGAGAGCTTTGTGGTTATTTCTGGGCCGGGAGCGAACGAGCAATAAATAAACTCTGTGGGGTGAGACTTTCTCGTTGCCTCGGGAGGAGGAACGTTTCTTACCTTCTCCACGAGGATGCCACACCCGCCCACACTCCGGCTGAAGACTGAATGCTGCACTCCAGGCAGGAGGACCCTGGGAACTGAGAACTTCTTGCCCCTTTAACATCGGGAGCCACTAACCCACGGCTGCCGGACAGCTGCAAGCACCCTCTGGTGAGCAGGACCCGCTGCGCTCAGGGGCATTCACATCACCGGACACTCACTCCGCCTGGAGGTCATGCCCGTGTCATACAGAGCACTGAGTGTCCCGTGTCATACAGAGCAATGAGTGTCCCGTGTCATACAGAGCACTGAGTGTCTGTCATACAGCAGAGCAATGAGTGTCCCGTGTCATACAGAGCACTGAGTGTCCCGTGTCATACAGAGCACTTAAGACACGTGTTTAGAAATCCTTTGGTGAGTCTCCCAGGTGGAGTGAGTGTCGGGTGATGTGAACGCCCGTGAGCGCAGCGGGTCCTGCTGACCAGAGAGTGCTTGCAGCTGCCCAGCAGCTGTGGGGTTATTGGAAGACGCTTGATCGGAAGCGGAAGAGGTGGAGGCAGCCTCACGGACAGCGCACACATGCGGATCACCGGACACTCTGCAGGCCCACCCAGGGCCCCACAGGGCATCTGCTCTACTCGCAACACATCCGGTTCTGAGAAGGTTAAATTGAGACATTCTCCCAACGGCGTCTCCAGCCAACGCGGAGACACTTTTCCAAGGCACAGCCCGGGGTTTGCATGAGGTCAGAGCCCACGAGGGCACTTCCTCCTGCCCTCCCACCTCCGCCTCCCAGCTGCTAGGACGAGCTCCCAAGGGCTTTAATTACACACGGTGCGGGGAGCCTCACTCTGGTCCCCACCCACTCACCGGACCGATTTAACGAGATGAAGTAACCGAGAAACCGCAGGCTCCTGGTCCAGGAGTGCCAGCTCAGCCACGCCACCCCATCTCGCTGTCCGCCGGCCACGGCGTGGGCAAGCTCCTCCTGAGATGGCCCCGGTCCCTGGACAGGGCCCCGTGGGACAGGCCCCGGCCAAATCTCTCAGGGGCAGAGCCAGCTTCAGCGTTTCCGTTTTCTCCCTGGCTCCTTCAAGTACTTTGGCCCGTCCACCTTGGCAATGTAAGAGCTTAATATTCCTCCCCAGCTTCCCACACACGAGGTATATTTAGGAAGCTAAATATTCTATGGTTGCCGAGCAGACTTTGTATTTATTCCTTAATTCTCGATGTTACCTTTCATTGGGGGGGAGGGGGGCAGAGTGGTTTAAATTTATGTTGCACTTTATTTTTTTTAATATATTTTTATTGATTTCAGAGAGGAAGGGAGAGGGAGAGATTGCAACATCAGTGATGAGAGAGAATCACTGATCAGCTGCCTCCTGCACGCCCCCTACTGGGGACCAAGCCATTGTCCAGAATCAAACCCAGGACCCTTCAGTCCACAGGCCGGCGCTCTGTCCACTGAACCACACTGGCTAAGGCCATGTTGCACTTTAATGGCCCCAAATTAACAAGCATAATTTGTTAAAACTAAATGGAAAAAATACTCAGCACTCATTGCAATATGTGAAAATGCTGTTATCTAGAATTTTAATTATTTTTTAAACATTTTAAGAACTGACATTTTGTAGTATCTGCATGATGGTCAACATCGGCACTAGTAGATGTGCGGCGTCTCTTATGCCTGATCTAACACTGGAACGGTACGTAAGTCATTCCCGTTGACATAAGCAACGAGAAGGGTGACAACTCCAGGGTGTCTCAAACTTCTCCTACAAGGCACACCCTAACGACCCCTGGGTTTCTGAAAAGAAAAGCAGAAGAAAAGGTTCCATTCTAAAGCTCCACAGATCTACACGTGTCCTCTGCGGTCACAGCAGCCAGAGACACTGGAGGAGACTTTTCAACGTGTCTGAGGGGGAGAAGCAGCCGTCCCGCTGGTGGCGGAGAACCCTGGAAGGCTGACTTCCTTTCCGTTTCCTGGTTTCCTTCCCGGCCAAGGGATCTGTTGACGCGAGACCGAAAGGAAGTGTCCGGAGGGACCACTCGGATACGAGATGTGCTGGTGCCCAGCTCGAGCGACGCACCGTTTATTCGTGGAGCTGACCTCAGCTCTGCACTGACTAGACACTGTCCGAGGAGAGACCAGGTCAGTGTGTACCGACACCTGTCTCTTCGGCTCAGATTCGACGGGAGACTTGGGGTGGGGACGGGGGAGGGGGGAGACTATTGCTCAATTTGCTTTAAAAAAAGTCGCCTTGTTTTCAAGTCCCTTAAAAGGGGACGGCTCCGAACTCTATCCCAACTCCAAGCTCTGAAGAGATGCCCCTCTTCCTGCACTTGGCACAGAGCTGTGCTTCCGTCACCGCTTCGCTCAGCAAACAGCTCACCAGGGAAGGGGGTGAACACGGATGAGCCATCATTCTGCCAAGGACCGTGCCAGGGCTGCTGTTCTCACAGCTAATCCCCACAACAGGGACGCGGGCTAGGTATCATCTCCACGTTGCAGTGCCGAGAAGTGAGGCTTAGAGAGAGCGAATGGCATTCATTCCCCGGATCACAGAACTGCTGGGTGTGGAGCTGAGCTCCGATTCCGGCCAATCCAACGCCAAGCCCGCTTCCTACCCGTCCCTGCGACTCCCATCAGCATCCACTCGCTGCCCGAGTACAGAAACAGATTCCTCATTCCAGTGCTCATCATCAAGACCACATTGCAGCTTAGCTTTGGAGCATCTATAGGCCATAGCGGGGCCTCCAAAACGAGCAACATCATTAGATTTGAAGACAAATTCGGTCCTGACCCAGTAAAAGTCCTGTCCTATCTTTCCAAAGAGAGAGGAGGTCGGTCCTGACCTTTTCCAAATGGAAGGACACAGGGGCCTAAAGACGTTTCATTCATTCTTAGAAGTGGACATAAGCTGGGCCCTGCATGGTCTAAACTCGCTCTGCCCACACGTGGCCTCTGAGGGGCACGGAGAATTTAGAAACCCATTTCCAGGAAAGGAATCCACACAAAATAGAACCAACCTACCACCTGCCCCTGGGCCGAGGCCCGCAGCCCATAAATGAATGTCTTGAAGGGATGTTCATTTTAACACCTACCGTGCCCCAAGCTCTCTTGCCCAACATTCTGCATTAATAGAGACATCAAGAGCAGTGTGGGTCACAGCTATTCTTGCCCGGGGCTGTTTTGAGCTTCTGTGAAAATAGCACCATGAATTTCATGCTCCAGCATGTCCACATTCTTGGCAAAGCGACAGAAAAACCCCGGGGGTCAAACTGGAGGTAGAGCATCCACCGCATAGATATTTTATAGCCGCGTTTTGTACGTGGCCATGGAATGTGTAACCGCCATCGGAAAGCCAGAACAGATTTTATGAGGTTGTTCTACGACCCCCCTATGACGACCTTGCAAACCAGAAGCAAAAAGAACCCTCCACCCATCGAAGCGAGGTAAGCTGTCCACAGGCTCCGAGCAGGTGACGGGAAGGGAGGCTACCTACAGCAGAATTGCTGTCTGGATCGGCGACTGCATTTAGACCAAAATGGGACCTCCCCCTCCTCAGCGGACATACCAGTCGGCTACACGGTTGTGGCAAGGCTCACACGGGAGCGTGGGTGGGGAACACCCTTGCCCGGCAGCTCCTGTACAGGTGGCACCAAAGCTGAGGGCATTCGGGCGGCAAGGCTGGCATCATTCCTGTTTCCTTTTACATTTCTTTGGTTAATCCTCACCCAAGGATATTTCTCCATTGATTTTTAGAGAGAGTGGAAGGGAGGAGGAGGGGGAGAGAGAGAGAGCATCATCGTGAGAGCAACACGATTGGTTCCCCCCCCGCACACCCCGACCGGGGCTGGGGATCAAACCTGCAACCCAGGTACCTGCCCTTGACCGGGAATTGAACCCACAACCCCCTGGTCCAGGGGCCAATGCTCTAACCACTGAGAAGCACCAGCCGGCCAATAAAATAGCTTTGGATGACAGTGAAATAAAGCAGAAAAGACTGTGACGGGGACCTATTGATGGTTATAATCGTGCAGCCCCAGCCAGACCACCAGCAGCTGGCACAGCCCGAGGCCCAGCAGGAGCATGTGCGTGTGAGCACGCGGATGGAAACACAGACGGAGCCAGTGAAAAGAGAGGAAGGGGGGGGGGATGTGTGGACATCAGGAAGCAGCGGGGGCAGCAGATCCCGCCGGGGACGAGGAGAGGGAGGCGGGCGCTGGGTGCAGGGACAGAGAAGTCTTCCAACAGCGAGTGTGTGACCCCTGGGGGGACCCCCACGTCCTGGGCGCCCTGCGGCGTCTCTACCCCCGACAGGGCCCTGCGGAGCGCTTCCCGCTGGGCAGAGACCGTGCAGAGTTGGGTGGGAGATGAGGCTCCTCCAGGGGCCCCGCAGGGCCCGCCAGCGTCCAGGTTCCCAGCTCGGGGCACAGGCTCCGAGGGGAGAACGGCCGAGAAAGGGGACACCAGCGTGTGACACGGGGCCACCCTTGTTCTTCCTGCTGCTGAGGGCGATGGGTCCCCAGCTCCAGTGCCTCCAGGGACCAGGCCAGCCACAGTGGGGACGGCGCTGGGTGCGAGGAAACGCCGGGTCTGCTGGGAACTGGAGGTTGCAGCCCCTCCAAGGGCTTCCAGACGCAACGTTTATGGAAAAGTACGTGGTGACTGAGCAGATGTCCACGTGCGGGTGTGAGCCTGGGCGGCCTCGTAGTGACCTGTGCAATGACCTCGACCTGTGCAATGACCTGTGACCTGTGCAATGACCTGTGACCTGTGCAATGACCTGCGACCTGTGCAATGACCTGTATAATTACCTATGACCTGCGTTGTGACCTGTGATGTGGACGTCTGGCCCGAGGCCAGTGTCCAGGCTTTCTAGGCCAAACCTCATCCCAGAGCCAAGTTTGCCTGGAGTCACCCCCTATCGTCTAGAGCAGTGGTTCTCAACCTTCCTCATGCCGCGACCCTTGAATACAGTTCCTCATGCTGTGGTGACCCCCAATTTCATTGTGACAAATTGAACATAATTAAAGCATAGTGATTCATCACAAAAACAATATGTAACTATATATGTGTTTTCCGATGGTCTTCGGCGACCCCTGTGAAAGGGTCGTTTGGCTCCCAAAGGGTCGTGACCCACAGGTTGAGAACCGCTGGTCTAGAGAGAAGCAAAGTGCCCTAAGTCAGCGCCTTTCCAACCACTCGGGGCATTGAACGGGGCGTCTCCAGTGGATCCTCCAACTGTGATCACATCGTCCTCATGGTCACACCAGACAGGGCTCTAAGGCCTCACTTAGTGACGATGTTCTGATCTCTTGGAAGCCGTCAGAGGCCCGGGCAGGCGGGAGGGCAGAGCGAGCACGAGGATGCTGAGGTCGCCTCCCCTGCACCGTTGTTTACTAAGTCACCAGCCCAGCCAGGCCAG